TTTTCCAAATCCAGAGGGATTGACAACGTGTCCAGATTAGGATATCTATCAAATACAATGAATGAAGATTTTGCAGCATTTAGTCTCAGCTTGTTGATTCTAAGCCATTCATACACAATTTTCATATCCTTAATTACATTTTCATATATGCTTCGGGAAATGTTATCAAAATATAGTGCACTGTCATCTGCAAATAAGTAAACAGTAGATTGTGTGCAATTTCTACTGAGATCATTTATGAATAAACTAAATAGAATTGGTCCTAATATGCTACCCTGTGGCACACCTGTTTTAACAGGGAGTGATGTGCTTACATTACCACGTATTTTGGTGTGCTGCTTTCTGTCCCCAAGGTAGCTTTTGAACCACTTTATGACAAAGCCATCAACTCCATAATACTTAAGTTTTTTCAATAAAATATTATGGCTTACTGTGTCAAAGGCCTTTTTAATATCTAAGAATACAATTGCAGGTTTCTTCTGTGATTCCTTAGACGTAAATATTTTATCAAATAGATTAAGCATTAGAAAAGTGGTGGAATGATCTTTTCTAAATCCATACTGATTGTTGGTAAGCAGTTTATTTGTTTCAACATACTCTGTGAGCTGTTGGTTAACAAAATATTCTATGCATTTTCCAAGTAGGGGGAGTATGGATATTGGCCGGTAGTTATTTGGATCATTAGGGTCACCAGTTTTAAGAATTGGAGTGACTGATGCAATTTTACATGCCAACGGCATTGTTCCACTTTTCATACTAAGGTTTATAATATGAGTTACTGGATCGATGATTTGGGGAATAATATACTTATATACGAAAGCCATGTATTAATTGACTGTTTGCTTTACTCCTCAGTTAGGGAAAAATTCAACTTTTATCCCCAAAACATCACTGACCTAGCCGGTCTGCTCTCCAACAAAAATCTAGATCCTACCAAATTTACTGCCACAGCAAGAGCAATCCATTCAATTCTCTCTGTGAACGAACAATATACAGCCTATTATAAGAGCCCAGATTTCCACTCAAATACTGGCAAGTGCATAATGCTCTAGGAACTCAAAATAAACTCATGAACCATACAAATTTGATTTACTTGAAGAAAATAGCATTATATTATAACATTTCTATTTTATCCCTACACATTTGTAAATGATTAGAAGTGTGTAACTTAAATTATTTCAGAATTATAACTATTGTGAACTCAATAAAATAATTATCACTTTTGTATCCTTGTATCCTTGTATCCTTGTATACTTTAATAGGCATGATATCGTTAATAGATTTATCTGATGGTATACTGAGTATATATTCTTTTACTTGTTCAACAGTAACCTCTTCGAATACAGAGAGTTTACACTCTGGTGGAGGCGGCATATATTCTAGAAAGTCGTCTGAATCCTTTTCCTTAATTGATTCTTGTAATATTGTACCAACTGTGGCAAAATGCAGGTTAACTCCGTTAACATTTAAGTTGCTTGGGGAAGAGCTACTTATTTTTCCAGGTAAGTTTGAAGCATGTTTGATAGTTTTCCAAATACCTTTCAAATCGTTTTTTGCACTTTTCACAGTAAGGTCCTGAACAATATTTGTACGTCTGTTTTCTTTGGATAATTTTGTCACATAGTTTCTTTGGGGACGATAGTTATCCCACGAAGTAGAGCATTTCTTATGTAGTTCACTTTTTCTGCAGTTACATATTCCATTAATACACTTACACTTGAATTTGTTTAATTGTCCTAAACACTTTTTATACTTTCTGAAAAGCATCTTCTTCTTCCGTATTTCTGCCAGCACTATTTTAGAGGGATTACAAAGAAAGTTACTATTACATTTAATCTGTTTAGGTGGACAGTAATTATCATACGATTCCTGGATGTGATGATTAAGTCCATCTAGCGCATGGTCTACATTAGTACAACTTAGAATATTACTGTAATTACTGCAGGATCCCAGAAAATAGCTTAAGGCTTTTAGATTGTTTAAGGAGTGGTCTCTGATAAGGACCTTCTGGAATTTACTAGCTTTATTTACTTTAAAGTCGAGAACACATTTGAGAGCTTGGTGATCTCCTATTCTATCATCAAGTACTTTACACTCTATGAAATTAGAGTAACAGTTAGTCATTACAACATCTATTGTGCTCTGCGTTATTCTACCATCTAAGTTTGCAACTCTAGTAATTCCTGTAACAGTCTGTATCATTCCAAAGAGCTTCATTGTTATATCTAACTTTTTATAATCTAGATCAGATAAAGAGTTTTGGTTAACATTAACATCGCCAATCCATATTACTTTCTTACCTTGAAGTTTCATCATACATTCAGTCATATAATCAAGGAAAGTATCTAGATGACAAAAGTTTTGTGATCTGTAGAAGCAGCAAATGTAAAGATTGGCGTCCTTGAGTTGTATCCATATAGCTTCGATTTTAGAAATATCAGAGTAGGTTATATCTAAATTGAGTAATTTGTGGTTAACATTTTGGTTGATCAATATACCACACCCTCCTCTTCCTCTATCGTTAGGTCTATCACACCTTATAAAATCAAAGTTTAAGGGGAAGTTAAGTGTACTAGTGTCTATATCAGATTTAAGGTTTGTCTCATTAATTCCAATTATGTCAAGCTTTTCGCGAAATATTAGCTCCTGTAGTTCGAGAGTTTTTGCCAGATTAGTCAGGCCACCCTGTATATTACATAGACCAAGAGAGAGATTATCGTTTATTGAGGTACGAATAAGGTTAAACCAAAGCTAATGGGGAACAAATCCACATGCAGTCTCCTCAAGTAGACTAAGTTTCAAATCGTGTCATACATATGATTTAAATTGGATTTCGGATCAGCAATCATACTGCAGTTTAAATCATAAAATTTAACAGCATAAAATAGTAACTCACTTCTGTTTGTGATAAATATAGCTTGAGAGATATAAAAACGTTAAGTTATTAGAAATTTGTGCTGATCTAACATTTTAAACCAGATAAAACAGTAATCCTGTTATTATTCATGTTGGATTATAGAATTTTAATGAAGTTTAACACAAGTGAGTTACATATTTGAGATGCTTACCAAGCCTGGCAATTCCTAACTTATTAAGGTGCACATTGTCATGGCCCCTGCCAAAATACTTGTCCTTTCTATTATAATTTAAAGTAAAGAGATTATTTTCATGTTCTGTGTTAATGTATATTAGCCCATGCTTATAACACATATTCTCTAAGTATCGATTAAGTCCCTGCACTATAATGTTCTTACTAGTGACAGCTCTAGGCAGAATATTTAAGATATATATTTTTGCACTATTAAATTCTGCCCACAATTTTTGAACAAATTCTTCCATGTCATTGGTGGCACTGTTGAAGTTCATTGTGTTGAGGTCAATTGGATCAACACAGTTAGTACCAGTTAGTAAAACAACCTTTTTAACCTTTTCTTTGTTGAGAACTTTGAACTGACTGTCGCTAAAGAGTCTTTGGGACATTTGGATTGAGTTGGCCCCTGGGTAGAAAAATACTTTGGCCTTCTGAGATGAAGAGCTCAACAGTTTTTCATTCAGATGCCTAAACATGCTGCTGCTGATATAAACTGTGCTCACATCGTTGGGTGTCTCCTTTTCGAACAATTGTTGTCTGTTAGCATGCCGCCCTGATTGATGCAGATGGGGTGGTGGAGATGTATAGGGTGGGGTTAGAGGTCGGTGCTGATAAGCACCATTCGTTTTCCTTGATGGATGAACTATAAACTCGTCTTCTTGATAAGGTACATAGCCGCTGGAGTTGGAGATGTTTTCATATGGGTCATGGTAATTGTCATTGCACATGTTGGTTGGTGTACTTGTTAATCTTTGGACAACAGCTACAGGTTTGATCAGTCTGAATGTGATACTGATCCTTTTGTTTGTACAAGATGGTTGAGTACAGATTTCATGTCTGTAATGAAGCTGGGATTTTTTAGACATGATACAAACATCCCCATGCTTTAGATCTAGGGCAGACACCACTTTTCCTGTTTGAATTTCTGTGAACTGCATCGTCCTAGAGGCACCCAGAGAAACTGTAACAATATAAGAGTTTTCATCGATGCATTCTTCATTATCACTATGGATAGGCATGCATTCTGTCCCAGTACTGTAGTAGTTTACGAGAGCACTGTTGTAAACATAATCCGGGAGTAACACATCAAGATATGAACAGATAGCAGCCAGATAGGACTGATGTGGTATCTCCTTCGCCTCGTGACTTCCCCCATTATACACATATGGGAAGTCCCCAAAGTAAGCTGTTTTCCTATTTTGAAACTGGTGGCTAAAATCCAATTCTCTCAGGAAGATGTCTAAGGAGAATTTTTGAAACGGTGCCTGATCAATGAGTTCAACAGGTGGTATGATAATGTCAGGGCTTTCGTCATTTACACTTAAGGCCACACTAGATATGGGTGTTACATCTATTTCAGCATAATACTTGCCACTCCATGGATTGACAGATCCTGTACTCCCATTGATTTGATTTTCTGTGTTGTTGGAAATGATAGAATCTGGTGCTTCAATGATGCCATCACTATTGATTAGCATGAAAGATTCAGGCACCTCGCATTCACTGTCATATTCAATCTGATCGTTTTCAAATTCTGTCTGAACTGCAACATCTGAACACCTATCCAGGACAGCCCGATAATCTATTGACTGATTGGTACTTTGATGTAACAACGTACCATTAATCTCTGCTATAGTCTGAGAAGTTTGAACAATGTCTTCTAGGATGATCACTTTCCGCTCGAGAAACTTGACATGAGATTTGAGTGCAGTACAGTTTTTGCATTTTTGATCACATTCCGACAATAGTTTTCCAAAAAATGTTTCCATTGAATCGTCCATGATATTGAGTTGATGATTTGAATTAAGTTGTTGATTTGAATTGAAGCAAATTGAAGAGTTCACATGTGAGATTTGTTCCATTCCATTAACATTACATTCGTATTACATTCGTAGTACTTTGGTCATACCTCAAATTATTTGTTATATAGTAGTGTTGAAAGTATTAAAACTCTGCATACTCGTCCTATGTCAAGAAGAATCCAGATTATACTGCTAATACCTTCTCTGTTCTTGACTCTATCTGTATCAGACTACGTCAAAAGGGAGAAGTTATTATGTGTGGCGATGCAAATGCAAGAACTGGAAAACTCCCAGACTATATCCTTTCCTGTAATGCACCTGCCATCCATGACATCTATAACGACATTGGACTCGAGCACGACATAGAAGAACCAAGAAACAATTCTGACCTTACAATATCTGAACCCCACTGCCAACACTTCCTTGACATGGTTATCAATAACCAACTCAAAATTCTTAATGGTCGTACCCTTGGGGACACCACTGGAAAAATGACCTGTCACAAATACAATGGAAGCAGTGTGGTTGACTATTTTGTAATCACCTCATGGGCAAGAGATCATGTAAACTCTCTCCAAGTAAAAGAGTTTACATCATACTCTGATCATTGTCCATTAGTCTTGAAACTCACTACATTTGAACCATTTGTCGCAAACTTCCAGCTCTCAGACTTTTCTAACTTTCCTTGTGGCTATAAGTGGGACAGCAACACCTCCCATTCACTATTTAAAAAAGCCCTTACCTCGCCCGAAATTATCAACAATCTGGAAAGCATTGTGACAAATGAATTTAGCAGTACTCTGGAGGGCAATCACGAACTGAACGATGCAGTCATAAAATGTCTCCACAGTGCTGCTGATATAGCCTTAAAAGTGAAAAAGCCTCCCAAAAATTCTGCCCGTAAAAAATGGTTCAACCCACAAGTCAACTCCTCGTGGCGGAACCTTAATAGGCTAGCAAATCGGCTTGGTAGTAAGCACTGTAACAGTATCCTCAGACAAGAATACTTTAAGCAACGCAACAAGCATAGCAATTTTGTAAACAGTAAGAAAGTAGCTTTCCTTAAGAAGTTAAATGAAGCTATAGAAGAAGGTCACATACTCGACTGGAAAAAATTTAAACGGCTTAAACAAGAACATGACACTAGCCCCTTACTTGACAAATTTGATTTAGCTAGCTTCCATGACTTCTTTGCATCCCTTTATAAAAAACCAGACCAGGAGCCAGATCTCACTCACCACAATCACAAACATTACCCTGAACCACCAGATCTGGATATCCTAAATAAGCTCATGTCAGAATCTGAAGTGACCTCTGCCATCAAAAATCTCAAAAAAGGTAAAAGTTGCTCAAACGACTTGATATCCAATGAGATGCTTCAGAGCGTAACTCCGCTTTGTCTCAAAGCCATCCTCAAAAACTTCAACCACTCACTGGTCTCCGGTTACTATCCATGGCACACCAGCATCATTACTCCTATTTACAAGTCTGGCAACCCTTTCAGCCCGGACAACTACAGAGCAATAGCTGTTGGTAGCTGTATGGGTAAACTGTTTTCTAGCATCTTACTTGAGCGTCTTCTGCACTTCAAAAAGCTCTACTGCCCTGACCCAAAAGAACAACTAGGGTTCTCGAAGGGTGCTCAAACAAATGACCACGTTTTTACCCTTAAGACAGTCATTGACAAATATACCAAGGTTAAGAAAGCTCGCCTCTATGCATGCTTTGTTGATTTAAGAAAGGCCTTTGACACTGTATGTAAGGACCTCCTTCTGCACAAAATCACATGCCTTGGAATAACTGGAAACTTCTTCAATTGCCTAAGTGATATGTATAGAAACTCAATAGCTCATATAAAAATCTCCAAACTCTTGTCCCCTAATATTGACATTGGAAAAGGAACAGAGCAGGGACACCCCCTATCACCGGACCTTTTTAAAATCTATATCAACGACTTGTCATCTCTCCTGAAATCTGTTGGTGATTATCCTATTCTAGCTGACGTCCTAATATCACATCTGCTCTGGGCTGACGATCTTGTCCTACTTGCCCTAAGTCCCAAGGCTTTGCAAGACAATATAAACATCCTATTCGACTTCTGTAACTCTATGGGCCTTGAAGTAAACATTAAAAAAACCAAGATTCTCATATTCTGCCCTCCTAAAAGAAAGCAATCCTATGAAACATTCATTTTGGGAGGCCAGCCCATCCAACACACCGAAAAATACTGCTATCTTGGCATTATATTCCACAGAAATGGATCTTTTACAGCAGCAAATACTGAACTGAGGGCCAAGGCTCTCCGTGCTCTCTATGGCCTCAAAGGCAATATCGTCAAAGATGCCCTCTCTCACCGTTCTCTAAACATTCTATTTGACTCTCTAATAAAACCGATACTGCTCTATGGCTGCCAAATCTTATGTCCTCACTCCAAAACCATGAGATACCTCTCCAAAACAGATAGCAAAGCCAACCCCCAGCATACTCTCAGGTACATCTCACAAGACCACTATGAAAGATTCCAGCTTAAGTTTATCAAGTGGTCCTTGTCTGTCCATTCAAAAGCATCAAATATAGGCTGCTGGGGCGAAAGTGGGCGCCACCCCCTCTTCTTTGAAGCCTGCAAACTTGCAATAGATTTCTATAGTCGCCTTGAAAGCACTGAAAATGAACTTCTCTCCGCTGCATTCCACGAGCAGATTATGTTGGGCCTTCCTTGGTACACCAACATCTCTAATCTTCTCACCAAATATAACTTCCCCCACTCATCCTCTTCAAAATCCAAGCTCTCTACCAAAATCAGTCACAACATGAGGGACGAATTTGTGGATACCTGGAAATCTGCCAAGGCATCCTCACCTAAATTATAATTCTACAATCAAATTAAACATGATTTTGAACCAGAAACATACTTAGGAGTGGTTAAAATCCCCGATGCTCGGAAAAGCTTAACAAGGTTTCGTATTAGCTGCCACAATCTTTACATTGAGAGGGGCCGTTACGAAACCCCCCTAGTACCAAATTCATGTTCTAACTGACTGTTTACTCTACTCCTCAGTTAGAGAAAAATTTAACTTCCATCCTAAAAAATTACTGACCTAGCTAGGTTTGCTATCCGATAAAACTTTAGACCTTACAAAATGTACTGCCACAGCAAGAGCAATCCATTCAATTCTCTCTGTGAACGAACAATTTACAACCTACTATAAGAGCCCAGATTTCCATTCAAATACTGGCCAATGCATAATGACATAGGACCTCAAAATAAGATCGAAATCTACAAATCCGATCTATTTATAGAAAAATAGTATTATAAGACATTTCTATTTTATCCCTACACATTTGTAAATAACTAGAATTGTGTAACCTTAAATTATTTCAGAATTATAACTATTGTGAATTCAATAAAATAATTATCACTTTTGTATCCTTGTATCCTTGTATCCTTGTATCCTACGTTGTATGACCCGCCGCGCACGAGTGCGCGGCTCCCCCTGTATCGTAGAAACTCTACAGTGAAGCGACAGTGGGGGTCACCTCGTGATACAAGTTCACCGGGTGGAAACTGAGGGCCTATATGACCCCATATCTGAAAGCAGGTTGGGGGCACTACGGAAAGCTAAGAAAGCTTCCGTAAACTACTACTACTACTACTACTAATATTGACGGATGTTACTCGTCTAAATTTCTTCGAAGTCTAGTAGCGTGCGCCGCTTTCTTCTCGATGGCACGAGCCCGATGGCACGAGCTACGAAGTACCGCGCGCCGGGCCAGATCATTAACAATGGTCAACTACTAATACTATATATATAATATGCCGGATGCATATATGATTTTGTATATGCAATATCAAATATGCATGATCTATATGGCTTGCTTAATTTTGTTCATGTTGTTTAGTACTATATTATCTTTTGGTGAAGGAACGAAACGTATGCGTACGGAAAGAATGATATTTCAAAAAGGCGCAGTTATATCTAGCTAGGAGGTGCACAATAAAAATTAACTTGCTTGGATTTACTGGGCCGCGCTCAGCCTGTCATTCCGCCTAATCTCTATGTTTATGAACATGATAGCCTGATAGCCTGTGCATGATTTTCAAAATTTTTGTACCATTGTTTTCTAAAGACTGTGAGAATTTTCACAGTATCAAATTTGTTATACCTTTTTGGAATGATCAGTGAGTTTCGCCAAGCGTGCTATATTTGATTGTATCACGTTGCGACCCCCACGGTCGTTTCACTTTATCGTCCCGACGAGTGACGATACAGGGGGAGCCGCGCACTCGTGAGCGGCGGGTCATACAACGTATGAAAAATATTTGATGGTGCGCGGCTTTTGGAGCAAAAGTAGGTGTATTGTAAAAGTCGCGTAATTTGACAAAATTCATTGATTTTTGTTGTATTATTTTGTCATATCTGCAGTTCCTTGAATCGAATGAGATAATTCTGAAAATTTGTGAGGACCTTCCAATTTGTATCACGTTGCGACCCCCACGGTCGTTTCACTTTATCGTTCTGACGATACAGGGGGAGCCGCGCACTTCGTGCGCGGCGGATCATACAACGTATGACAACTTCCAATAAGGCTTGCCTTTCACAACTGTCAAATTTCAAATTTTAGTAATAATTTGTATATATATATGTAATAGATGTTTACACAACTATATCATATTATATGATTCATTGATTTGGTACACGTTGCAATCCCTTTCATCATAATATTGCATTTGAATCATATTTTTTTGAATGTTTCAAATGAAGTAAAATACAATTTAAGTAAAATACAATTTTTATTTTCCACAGAAGAATCAATACATATTGAATTATAAATATCCGATAATTCCATTAATAATCATTAAAAGTTGCTTTGTCATTTGTAAAATCAAAAACGAAAAGCCGTACGCTGAACGCGCGCGGCATTTTTTCTGCAGCTGCCTAGCTTCAAGCTTGTAGCTAGCCGCTAACATCAAAGCCGCCGCGCGCGCCCAGTGCTGCGATGCATTCTCATTAACAATTAAACTTGGTCAAATGGTCAAATATATTTTTATACAATTCCTAAATTAAATCAATAATCATGTTAATATGAGTATTCAACACTACTCGACAACAAATATTTGCCGGCCCATCAACTACTCA